AATGCTATCTCTTTGTTGATCATAAATATTTGGATTTTGAACATAATATCCTTGTTTTTCAGCGCCTACATTATATTGCCGATTTATATTCTATGACAGCTCTGTTACTTAACAATAACTGGGCTAGTACGGTTAAACCACCAATTTCTTTTGAAATTACAAAATGGATTTTCGTCGTGTCAATTCTTATGTCTTTTATATTATTGTTTCTGGAAATTAAAAAGGCATATAAAATCGTAAATTCGAGGGACATCTCTTTCTCCTTTACAAATATGATTGCTTATAGGTATTACACATTAACGAGTTACGCTCACTGGTGTTTTTTCCAGGAGATTCAGGATAGAGAAAATTGGAAAGACAAAGTTGCCTTCTATGTTTTCTTTGCATTTAAAGGTTTATATAAAATTACATAAAATTATTTGTCGTTCAAGTTTTAATTATATATAATTAACTATTGTATAATTTCTTTTAGGATACAAACGTCTTTTATTATGTGATGGCCCTCGTCAGGTTATCAACGGTTTAACTGTATTCACCATTTTACGTGACAAGAAATTCTCTATGAATATATCGGTGTATGGTTCAATTACCACAAGGGCCTCGATAGCAATTATGTCATTCACTGTGATAGTGTTCATTTTCTCTGCTATCAATTTACTTTGTTCTTTTCTTCTTTACCTTCCTCTTCTTTGTCATATCCGAGGAAATTTGAAAGAATACTGTTGTCACATCATAGATAAGAGGTACTTTATTAATTATTATTATTGTTATTATTTATTGTCGCAGCTGAAGCTGGAAATTAGGGAAATTAGGGACCTCGATTTAAAAATATAAACCCTACCAAAATCCACTTAAACATTTTTATTATTAAAACTAACCCTAAATCCTAAGCTAACTATAAAAAAAAAAAAAAAAAAAAGCTAAAAAATGCACCCTAAAAATTTTTGAAATTTTCATATTAAAGTATTTAAAATTTCCAGCTTCAGCTGCGACATTTATTATTGTTGCTTCAATACTAACCTCTTATTTTAAATTAGGATTGGTCAACTTCTTGCTAAAAATAGAAGAGATCGTATTGCGGATGCTACTAACAATGTTCAATCCAAAGACCAACAACCTACACTTCCAGCATTAAGAGATGATTATGCTCTTCCGCAATATAGTGGTCCTCCGCCGAAAGCTTTCAATTTATCTGATGCTCCTCCAGATCAACTGAAATATAATGTAGGCGCTGAAAAACAAGGATATTATGTTCAAAATCCAAATATTTATGATCAACAAAGAGATAGCATT